GTCTGCGCTTGGTCACACTTATGTCGAGGAGACCACATTGGGATGCAACACATACAGTAGACTAGGTTGGAGGGCATACAGGTGAATCCCTGTCAGATTTGTAGGACTCCTACCTAGACTCAGTTTTTTCCCCCCCTCGGTCCAGGAGCTCCCCACCTACATTTGGGACACCACCCATGCCCTCCACCTCCTCCAAGACTTTCAATTCCCCGGCCCCAACACCTCATCTTCACCATGGATATCCAGTCGCTCTACACCCATATCCCCCATGAGGAGGGCCTAAAAGTCCTCTGCTTCTTCGTCTCCCACAGGCCCAACCACTCCCCCTCCACCGACACTCTCATCTGCTTAATGGAACTTGTCCTTACCCTCAACAACTTTTAACTCCTCCCACTTACTAAAAACTAAAGGGGTGGCTACGAGCATCGGCATGGGTCCGAGCTATGCCTGGATCTTTGTGGGATATGTGGAACGGACTGTCTTCTGCAGTTCTCCATTCCTCACCTCTTCCTCCGCTACATTGATGACTGTATCGGCACTGCCTCGTGCTTCCATGAGGAGCATGAACAGTTCATCAACTTTACTAACACCTTTCACCCCAACCTCAAATTCACCTGGACCATCTCTGACACCTCCCTCCCCTTCCTGGACCTCTCTGTTTCAATGTCCGGTAACCGTCTCAGCACCAACATCTATTTCAAACTCACCGACTCCCACAGCTATGTTGACTACACCTCCTCTCACCTACCCTCCTGCAAGAATGCAATCCCATACTCCCAATTCCTCCGTCTCCATTGCATATGCTCTCAAGGTGAAGTGTTCCACACCCAGACATCCCAGATGTCCTCCTACTTCAAGGGCCATAACATCCCCCCTCCGGTAATTCATAATGCCATCAACCACATCTCTTGAAGTTCCCAAACTTCTGCCCTCAAACCCCTCCTCTCCCAACAAAGATAAGGACAGAGTCCCCTGGACCTCACATACCACCCCACCAATCTCTGCATCCAGCATATCATCCTCCACCACTTCCACCACCAAAGAAATATTTCCCTCTCCACCCCTATTTGCCTTCCATAGGCGCTGCTCACTCCGCAATTCCCTCGCCCGCTCCACACTCCCCACCAACCCCACCACACCTTGCACCTTTCCCCGCAACCACAGGAGGTGCTAAACCTGCTCCTCCACCTCCCCTCTCACCTCCATCCAAGGCCCCAAACAAGCTTTTCAAATCCGACAGGGATTCACCTGTACATCCTCCAACCTGCTCTACTCTATCCGTTGCTCCCTAAGTGGTCTCCTCAAGCGCAGACTCAGTGGCCAATTCACAGAGCCTCTGAGCTCTGTATGCTATAATCAACAGTACCTTCCGGTTGCTAACAATTTTAACTTTTCCCCCACTCCCTTGGTGACATGTCCATCCTGAGCCTCCTCCAGTATGACAAATGACAACACATGTAAACTGGAAGAACAACATCTCATATTCCGTCTCATGAGCTTACAGCCCAATGGCCTCAACGTGGAATTCATCAGTTTCAAAATCTCCCCAACCCTGGCCTCATCCCATGCCCAACCCTCCCTCTCATTCCTGCCTCCTTGACCAGACACAACCTGTCCATCATCTTTTTCACCTATCTCCACAACCCCCTACCTGCATCCACCTATGACCATCCCACCTAGCTTCCCCCCCCCCCCTCTATTTTTTCCAAATTCCCTTCCCCTCCCCATGTAAACCTGAAACGTCGACTTTCCTGCTCCTCTGATGCTACCTGGCCTGCTGTGTTTCTTTAGCTCCACACTGTAGTCACTACTCTTGCCTTATTGCCCAAAAGAAGGTCATGTTTTGCTCATTTTCAGTCAATACATTCACATATTAATAAAGAAAATTTTCTTGAACATGTTTAACAAATTCCACACCATCCAAACCATTGACTGGGACTGCCACAGTGTCAATGTTTGGAAAACTAAAATCCCTTACTATTACAGTTCTATTATTCTTAGATATATCTGAGACCTCTCTACATATTTGCTCCTCAATTTCCCTCTGACTACTGGGGAGCCTAAAGTACAATTCCCTTCAAGGTGATCATCCCTTTCTAATTTCAACCCATATATTTTCACTGGACAATCCAAATATCCTCTCTAATTACAGTAGTAATGTTTTCCTTAATCAAAAACACCATTCCCCTTCCTCTCTTGCCTCCACTTCTATCGTTCCTATAGCATCTAAAGCCTGAAAGCTGTCAGTCCTGTCCTCCCCTCAGCAAAATTTCTGTAATATCTATGGCATCCCAGTCCCATGTTAGCATACATGCCCTGAGTTCATCATCCTTACCTGAAAGACCCTTGCTTTGAAATAAATGCAGTTTAATTCCTCAGTTACCTCGTTCTCAAACTTGCTGATGTGTCTTTTCTAATTAACTTGCTGTTTTCTGATTCAGAACTACGCTCATCTGTCTATTTTCACTGCTAGTTAGGACCACCCCCCCAGAAAGTTTACAGGCTTCCAAAATAGACATAGCAAATTTCCCCACCACGATATTGGTCCCTTTCCAGTTCAGGTGAAACCCATCCCTTTCAAACAGATTTTTTCTACCACAGAAGAGATCCCAATGATCCCAAGAATCCGAATCCCTGCACATTGCACCACCTCTTCAACCATTGACTTATCTACCCTATCCTTTCTCTCCGTCCCTAATTGGAACTTGGCACCGGCAGTAAACCAGCAATTACTACTTTTGAGATTCTTTATTTTAGCCTTCTATCGCTTATATTCAATCTACGAAGCCTGAACCCTTTCGTGAATGATATTGTTCCTTCCAACGTGTAGAACAGCTTTTGGTTTCTCACTCTCCCCTTTGACAATATGCTTCAAATGTTGAGACGTCCCTAACCCTGGCACTAGGAAAGCAACATACTATCCTAGATTCACACTCAGTGCCACAGAATCTCCTGCTTGTGCCTGACAGCAGAGTACCCTATAACAATTATTCTTTTAAATCTTGACAGACCCCGTTTAACGTAAGATTCCTTCTTACGTGTCCAAGATCTGACTGCCACTTCTACTTTCCTCAACAGTACCCAAAACAGAATATCTGTTAGGGAGAGGAATAGCCACAGGAGACACCTGAACTAACTTCTTACCTTTCCTGATATTTTATCTTTTTATATTTATATCAGCTCAGCCATAATCTTAATGAATGGCAGACAGGCTCAAGATCCTTAATAGTCTACGCTCCTGATTTCCTCATGAAATTATGATCCTGATATAAAATCTTCCATATTATACGGATGATTCCACTTTCCTGTCCAGATACAAAACCTTGCTTGATTCTGCATTTGTCACTATTCAGTCATGTAAATTTTACTAAATCAAGATTACTAATAGTGAGCCCATTTTAACCACAGGAATAACCCTGACTACTCTGCCGAAATCTGATGATCAGGGACAAATCCTGAATCAAGGGTCTAGGCCCGAAACGTCAGCCTCTCTGCTCCTATGATGCTGCTTGGCCTGCTGTGTTCATCCAGCCCTGCATCTTGTTGTCTCGGATTCTCCAGCATCTGCAGTTCCTACTATCTCTGAATCTTCCCAGTTTGGATATCTCAATATCAGAGCATTACACAGTATATACACTACTGGTCTTCAGCAACTTTAACTACTTTAAGTTTAAAAACTTTGCCCAAAAACAATCTGCTCAATCTCTGCACTATTGTGCAGTCTTCCAAGTACGTAGAAACTGGAATCTGTTTAGGAACTATTTAAAACAAACCGCCCTTAAAAAGAAGCTCTGCCCTTCTCAGCAGGAAATATTTAAGCCACTGTTTACATCCCAAGAGCTGAAAAGAAACAATGGAATACCTAAAAATACTGTAAGGTCAGAAGCCAGGTTATAGTCCAACAGGTTTATTTGAAATCACAAGCTTTCAGAGCGTTACCCCAGATAGACAACATTGGCTGAGTCACATGAGTATCTGCTGTGTATGTGGTGAGTGGTGTTCTAATATTATTCAGCTGTTGAAACCCTACTCATCGCTAGATCATGAAGATGCTATGACAACGGATGAATAGACACTGCGCAACAATCGCCAGACAGGAATGTTTCCCCCCTGCCAAGTCGGGCAACACTTCGGCCTCTGACCTTCAGGTAAAGGTCCTCCAAGGCAGCCTTTGAGATATACAAGCAGGAACTCATAGCCAAGTTCTGTACCCTTGAGAACAGCCTCAACTGTGATCTTGGATTCAGGTCGTGCTACCTGTGATCCCACCATACCTATGTATGTGTAAGATCTTCCTTACTGTCCTGTTTTGACACCATCACCTTGATAAATTGTTTTGATTGTTCTACATTAATTAGTTTGTACAGTTTTGGATTATTTTTACTTTGGTTAGACCCTCGGCATGCACCTCTCATACCTACTGTATTATTCCAGTCATTTGGTTTGTCTCCAGTGCCACTTTATTTTTAGTTTTTTTTTGTAATTATAACTCTGTCTCATTTAATCATATTATAAAATCATCCTTTCACTTGTTATTCAGCTGTTGACACTTTACTCACACCATCAGACACTCTCGATCACCTACAGAGACCTATTAAGACACCACTCACACTATTTGTGTGATCTTTAGATCTCGCTGCCCATAAATTCTGTGCTTGTGTACTTCTCTCTCACTTCACCTGACAAAGGGGCAATGCTTCAAAGTCTTGTGATTTCAAATAAACCTGTTGGACTATAACCAGGTGTCATCTGATTTCTGACCTTGTCGACCCCAGTCCAACACAAGCACTTCCACATCATAAAAATAATATACATTTTGCCTTTGTTCTACTGTCTCTTCGTGATGTCGATTTTACCCCGTTGCTCGACTTCCAGGAAAAATCCTTTTAAACAACAATATTAAATACATATTATATGTCAGAAACGAATCAAAACTCGTGTGTTTGCTTTAGACGCAGTGGTGCTTCATTACGCAAACAGGAACTGTAAACCGTACGTACCTTTTAAAAGCTTAGTTTTCAGGAGATTCAGCACGTCTGCTGAAGTGGGGCCTTTCTTTTTGTGGATCGCAAATAGCCCATTCAGACCCTGCAGCTTCTCAGCCAAAGCAATGGACCCTGAGCTGGACGCCATGTTCATCCAACACAAACCCCAAACCGACTCTGCAACCGCGTGCTTCTAGCGGCCTCGCTGCATTCTGGGATTTGTAGTCCGCCATTTTGATTGGAGGGCTCACACCCGGTGACAGCAGCGACCTCAGTGATTGGAGAAACCAGCCCAAGACGATGGACTGCGCTCTTGTGACTGGTTAATTCCGACCTCAGGGTTGTACGGTGCAGTCATCAATATTGCCAATGTGAAAAGCAGAGAGGTAGGGTTTGGGAAATTAATCGTGATATAACGACAAACACATTTTACAAGCACCAGCTGAAATGTCAGCATCCGAAAAATACAGGAAAATTTAGGCTGACTTTTATTTTGCTGAAAATGAGCGAAACATTCCCCAAAGCTTTTGGCTTTGCAATTTATCAGCACAAGTTCAAAAATCCCAAATTTCAAATGATGACAATAATATCTATGGCAGGAGAAATGAGGATTGATTCCTTGCCAAATCGACCCTGAAGTGACATCACTGGGAAATGGTGTTTTGATTGGTTCGTAATTTAAAAAAAAAATTATTGGGAAGAAGGGATTAACTAATGAATATCAGGAAGAACTGAAAGTCAGGGGCAATACCATAAGGTAAAAACCAAAAGAACTGCAGATGCTGTATATCAGGAACAAAAACAAAGTTTTATTTTTGGTTTTTGTTCCTGCAATACCATAAAGTAATTGAAATAACTGCACAGAGGATGGCATCCAGATGGCAAGTGACCCTTTATTCACATGGGCTGTGACCAGCCAGCTCAAAGCAGTCCAAAATTGAGAACCCCTTCTGAATCTCCTCTTTATATGTGTCAGCCGGGGCTCTCTGATTGGGCCAATCAAGAACAACCCCAATCAAGAAACTCATAGTCAATGAGATCCACCAGGCCGTGGTTCCAATCACTACAGTAATATAAGTCAGCAAAGTAGGGTTAGGGAAGTACGTATGGGAAGTAAGCTAATAGTATTCTGACATTTTTTTGACAAGGGAATAACTAAGAGACTTAAAGGAAGTCATATCAGCAGAGATAGTAGGAACTGCAGATGCTGGAGAATCTGAGACAACAAGGTGTAGAGCTGGATGAACACAGCAGGCCAAGTAGCATCAGAGGAGTAGCAAAGCTAACGTTTCGGGACTAGACCCTTCTTCAGAAATGGGGGAGGGGAAGGGGGTTCTGAAATAAATAGGGAGAGAAGGGGAGGCGGATAGAAGATGGATAAAGGAGAAGATAGGTGGAGAGGAGACAGACAGGTCAAAGAGGCGGGGATGGAGCCAATAAAGGTGAGTGTAGGTGGGGAGTTAGGGAGGAGATAAATCAGTTCAGGGAGGACAGACAGGTCAAGGGGGCGGGATGAGGTTAGTAGGTAGGAGATGGGGGTGGGGCTTGAGGTGGGAGGAGGGGATAGGTGGGAGGAAGGACAGGTTAGGGAGGCGAATACAAGCTGGGCTGGTTTTGGGATGTGATAGGGGGAGGGGAGATTTTGAAGCTTGTGAAGTCCACATTGATACCATTGAGCTGCAGCGTTCCCAAGCAGAATATGAGGTGCTGTTCCTGCAACCTTCGGGTGGCATCGTTGTGGCACTGCAGGAGGCCCAGGATGGACATGTCATCTGAGGAATGGGAGGGGGAGTAGAAATGGTTCACGACTGGGAGGGGCAGTTGTTTAGTGCGAACTGAGCATAGGTGTTCCGCAAAACGGTCCCCAAGTCTCCAGTTGGTTTCCCCGATGTAGAGGAGGCCACACCGGGTACAGCGGATATAGTATACCACATTAGCAGATGTGCAGGTGAACATCTGCTTGATGTGGAAAGTCTTCTTGGGACCTGGGATGGGGGTGAGGGAGGAGGTATGGGGGCAGGTGTAGCACTTCCTGCGGTTGCAGGGAAAAGTGCCAGGTGTGGTGGGACTGGAGGGGAGTGTGGAGCGGACAACGGAGTCACAGAGAGAGTGGTCCTTCCGGAAAGCACGTAAGGGTGGGGAGAGAAAAATGTCTTTGGTGGTGGGGTCGGATTGCAGATGGCGGAAGTGTCAGAGGATGATGCGTTGGATCTGGAGGTTGGTGGGGTGGTACGTGAGGATGAGGTTGTTGGTTGTTATTGCGAGGAGGGGTTGTGAGGGATGAGTTGCGGGAAATGCGGGAGACACAGTCGAGGGCGTTCTCGACCACTGAAGGGGGGAAGTTGCAGTCCTTGAAAAACGAGGACACCTGAGATGTTTGGGAGTGGAATGCCTCATCCTGGGAGCAGATGCGGCGGAGGCGAAGGAATTGGGAATAGTGGATGGCATTTTTGCAGGAAGGTGGGTGGGAGGAGGTGTATTCTAGGTAGCTGTGGGAGTCGGTGGGCTTGAAATGGATATAGGTTTCCAGGTGGGGATATAGGTTTCCAGGTGGTTGCCAGAGATGGAAACAGAGAGGTCCAGGAAGGAGAGAGAGGTATCAGAGATGGTCCAGGTGAACTTAAGGTTGGGGTGGAAGGTGTTGGTGAAGTGGATGAACTGTTCGAGCTCCTCGTGGCACCACGAGGCGGCGCCGATACAGTATCAATGTAACGGAGGAAGAGGTGGGGTTTAGGGCCGGTGTAGCTACGGAAGAGGGATTGTTCCACGTAACCTACAAAGAGGCAGGCGTAGCTTGGACCCATGCGGGTACCCATGGCCACCCCCTTTGTCTGTAGGAAGTGGGAGGAATTGAAAGAGAAGTTGTTGAGGGTAAGGACGAGTTCGGCTAAGCGCTTGAGGGTGTCAGTGGAGGGGGACTGGTCGGGCCTGCGAGACTGGAAGAAGCGGAGGGCCTTTAGGCCATCTGTATGGGGAGTGCAGGTGTATAGGGACTGGACGTCCATGGTAAAGATGAGGTGTTGGGGACCAGGGAATTGGAAATTCTGGAGGAGGTGGAGGGCGTGGGTGGTGTCACGGACGTAGGTAGGGAGTTCCCGGACCAAGGGGAAGAAAATGGAGTTGAGATAGTTGGAGATAAGTTCAGTGGGGCAGGAGCAGGTGGAGACAATGGGTCGACCAGGGCAGTCAGGTTTGTGGATTTTGGGAAGGAGATAGAAGCGGGCGGTGCGGGGTTGGGGAATGATGAGGTTAGAGGCTGTGGGTGGGTGGTAACCTGCGGTGATGAGGTTGTGGATGGTTTGGGAGATGATGGTTTGGTGTTCGGGGGTGGGGTCATGATCAAGGTGGCGGTAGGAGGAGGTGTCGGAGAGTTGGCGCCTGGCCTCGGCAATGTAGAGGTCAGTGCGCCATACTACAACTGCGCCTCCCTTGTCCGCGGGTTTTATGGTGAGGTTGGGATTGGAGCGGAGGGCTGCACGTTCTGTGGGGGAGAGGTTGGAGTGGGTGAGAGGGGTGGAGAGGTTGAGGCGAGTGATGTCATGACGGCAGTTGGAGATGAAGAGGTCGAGGGAGGGTAGGAGGCCTTGGGGTGGTGTCCAGCAGGAGGAGGGAGGGTTAGGCTCACCATTAAAGAAATAAGCGCGGAGGTGGAGGCAGCCGAAAAACTTTTCAACGTCCAAGCGTGAGCGGTATTCGTTGATTTTTGGGTGGAGGGGGGCAAAGGTGAGCCCTTTACTGGGGACTGACCATTCGTCCTCAGTAAGGGGGAAGTCTGGGGGGATGGTGAAGGGCTGGGTGCTATTGTCTCCTCTGGAGCTGCTGGCTATGGAGGCGGTGGGCGGAGTGACATCGGCGTCAGCGGTGGGCAGAGCAGGGTAGGCGGTGGGCGGAGCGACGTCGGCGTCGGTGGTGGGCGGAGTGGGGTAGGCGGCGGCAGCAGCGGTGTCGGCAAGTGCGTCCTCTGTCTGTGGTGTTGGCCTCGGAAATGGAGGTGGTGGCATCAGCAGCGGTGTCGATGGCGTTCGCTGTACCGGAAGTGGCGTACCCAGTGGTGGAGGATGTGACATCATCCGTGGGTGCTCCAACAGTGGCCACGTGGCCAATGGCGGCGGGCACAAATGATGACAATGACGGCGGGACGTTCAGTCCCATACACCTGCATTCCCCATGTAGATGGCCTAAAGGCCCTCCGCTTCTTCCTGTCCCGCAGGCCCGACCAGTCCCCCTCAACTGACACCCTCATCCGCTTAGCCAAACTCGTCCTCACCCTCAACAATTTCTCTTTCAATTCCTCCCACTTCCTACAGACAAAGGGGTGGCCATGGATACCCGCATGGGCCCAAGCTATGCTTACCTCTTTGTAGGTTACGTGGAACAATCCCTCTTCCGTAGCTACACTGGCCCTAAACCCCACCTCTTCCTCCGTTACATTGATGACTGTATCGGCGCCGCCTCGTGGTGCCACGAGGAGCTCGAACAGTTCATCCACTTCACCAACACCTTCCATCCCAACCTTAAGTTCACCTGGACCATCTCTGATACCTCTCTCTCCTTCCTGGACCTCTCTGTTTCCATCTCTGGCAACCACCTGGAAACCTATATCCATTTCAAGCCCACCAACTCCCACAGCTACCTAGAATACACCTCCTCCCACCCATCTGCCTGCAAAAATGCCATCCCCTATTCCCAGTTCCTTCGCCTCTGCCGCATCTGCTCCCAGGATGAGGCATTCCACTCCCAAACATCTCAGATGTCCTCGTTTTTCAAGGACCACAACTTCCCCTCCTCAGTGGTCGAGAACGCCCTCAACTGTGTCTCCTGCATTTCCCGCAACTCATCCCTCACACCCCCTCCACACGATAACAACCAAAACAGAATCCTCCTTGTCCTCAAGTACCACCAACCTCCAGATCCAACGCATCATTCTCCAACACTTCCGCCATCTGCAATCCGACGCCACCACCAAAGACATTTTTCCCTCCCCACCCTTATCTGCTTTCTGGAGGGACCACTTTCTCTGTGACTCCCTTGTCTGCTCCACACTCCTCTCCAGCCCCACCACACCCGGCACTTTTCCCTGCAACCGCAGGAAATGCTGCACGTGGCCCTACACCTCCCCCCTCACCCCCATCCCAGGCCCCAAGAAGACT